CAATATTGCCGGCGCAACACACGCACACACACACACACACACACACACTCTCTCTCTCTCTCTCTCTCTCTCTCTCTCTCTTTCTCTCGGCGAACAAAAGAAAGAGCGAACAGACGACTGGGGTTTAATAAGTCTAAACGCTGATATTCCGAAACTGTCAAGCATCGATTTCGACACCGAGCATCGATTCGACGTGGCTTTATTAGTCCTTTTATTTCGGATTCTTTTTTTGTCGGCTCTGAAACGATCGCGTGGGTGACATATGTCACTCGGTCTTTTCACATCTCGCCCCTGTCGACGGAATCAAGTGCGATCTCTCCGATGAATTTCATGTGGCGAGCGCAGAAAATAGGCATGCAGGAGATTTATTTGAGAAAATTTTATCAAGCGTTATTCTGACGAAATTGCTCCTTCGAGACGATGCCGTCTGAGAATTAAATGTTCGATTATTTATTTTTATTTTTTACTATTTTCTATACAATTATTATATAATATTGATCATTAAATATGATTAAGCCAATAAATTTACGGCAATAAATTAGTACTTATAATTATGGCATAGAGAGTGAAACTTTTTAATGGTGGATGGGTTAAGTTTGCAGAGGTTCGTTTTCCAGATATTTAGACGTTTTGAAAATAATGTTGGTTTTATTTTTCTATAATGTATATAGACGACCAACACAAAAATAATTGGAAGCCCTTGTCGAAAGGATCATTTTTAATTACAATATCGGACTCGTCAAATGATCGAGAGTGTGGGAGTTAAAACAACCGTCATTCACAAGCAACACCCATTTTACGCGGATACACTCGAGTCGATATCTGTTGAACGATCTCGTGATCGATGCAAGATGCATATTCGCCAAGGCCGTGGAGTTTCGCCTTTTTCTCTTCCCCCTGCCTCCCTCCCTTCCCCTCTTGTTTGCCGATTGCGGTATACGCCGATTCTGCGTGCCGCGATACCGCCGCGGCGGTTTCGCAATGCGAATCGTCGCGGCCGCTCGCCGTTCGAAGGAAAGCTAGACAGTGCCGTCTAGAGGCTCCCGACGTGGTCGGGCACACGCCGCTGCAGCAAGTGCAGTGCGGCAGCAACGAGGGTGAGTAGAGAGCGGGGCGTTACCCCGCTGGTGGCGTGAAATCTCCCGACTTGGTGTCGGTTGCACGGAACGCAGATGCGTAACGAGATCCGCTCGATCGGACGGATATCTCGCTTTTCGTTTAACACCATTCGGATAGAGTCAGCCGTTTAGCTGAATTTTATTAATAGAAAACATCCGAGGGAGGACTTTGTGTTCGAGAGAACTGCGATTTAAAACGAGATATATCGAGGTATCTTCGAATTCGCGACGGAACGTTTCGCCTCGGGCCTGTAAATATACTGCAGGCAGAGATGATATTTCGACGATCGAAATATGATTTGACCTCGCGTTAATCAGCCTGGCATTCATGCATCGACAAGTCGTTTTTGGCTTCGCACTCGCCTCGTCGTTCGAGTCACCGCCTCGTTCTGCACGTCGCCCGGTAAATACCCGGTGAATAAACGAGAGAGAGAGAGAGAGAGAGAGAGAGAGAGAGAGACCGTTCCGCGTGCGAGGGCTGCGCGATAAGGGGGCGGAAGATGAAAGCGGGGAGGGGACTCTGAAACACGGCCGAGTTTACGCTCCGAGTTTTTTTACCTGGCCAAGGACCGAGGGGTGCGCGAGCGCGCGCGTTGCAGATTCGGTCGTTCGTCAAGGCCCCGGGATTTAACGGCGGGGCTTTTGGCACTCGAGGAACGGCCTAAGGGTGCAATAACCCGGGTGCGCGACGCATGCACGGGACGTTCTCTCTGGCACGGGCATCGGTCGCCCGTCGTCCTCCCCCGCTCTCGGTTTATATCCGAATGGTTCTGCACGCCTCTTCGTCGATGACGTTATAGAGACGTCGCGAGGTGTGTATGTACACGCCTCCGCCTCTGCGATCATCCATCGAGAATTTTTTTAAAACGTGAAAAGAGCGATGATTTTTTTTTCCTTTCCGCGGAATCAGTGACGTAAAATTGTGCGGTTGCAGGAATAAGGTGTCGCGAGGGGCGACTAATTGGATAAAACGTTTCCTCAAAGTGGAGAAATTTTAAACCGTACCTGAACCGTATACTCTTTTAACCCGTAAAGGACACCTCTCTTTTGTTTAACACGAAACTTGAAAACAATTACGTTCTTTTTTCGAAAATTTAATATTACCAATCGATTGGTCAGACAATTTTACATTGAGAAACACATTTTACTTTTTATTTTCGGAAGATATAAAACTAAAAAAATTCGCTTGGTACGAATTCGCACCCAGGTGTTCTTTTACGGGTTAATAATCAATAGTTCTTTATTTAAAAAATTGTGCGGAGAGATGTGAACGGAACATTTTGAGTATCCCTAATATCTCTAATATTCCTTAATCTAATCTTTAAAATTTAATTTTCCCGAACCTTCTTTAATTTCTCTAGGCACTGCAGCAGCTTATAAACTTGCAATACGCCCTTAATAAAATTACTGTTTATTAATTAAATATACGAGTTCGCGAGGGGATCGATTTTAACGGCGTTACACGCCCCGATTAGAATCGAACGTAAATCGGAGTAATGTCGCCGTATTTATACGCGGCAAGGTCTCGTTCCTTCGATCGAGGTCCAACGAGCGACGGTCGCCAATGGAAACGGTCGGCGATATCCGACGACGTTGCCGGGGAGTCGTGCGGTCTAATTTTCCAGGTCGGCATATTTTCTTATCGGGGCTTTATTTTTCTTTCGTTTTTTTTTTTTATTATATACGTGCTGCGAATCCAGGCGCAATCGCGATCGCGTTATCGCGGGCACCGTCAATGCCTAAGCCGAGGTCGTGGATTTGTATCGCGATATACTCGCGTTATTGTCTTATTGCGTGCGCGCGTACGCGGTCGTCGCGTTATAATCGCGGTTACGATATCGGCCGATACACCGGAAGCTATCAATGCGTTATCGCGGTCCCTCGAACACTTCAGAGATACGTCGAAAACAACGGATCGAAGCGAGCTGGAGCTCGTCGAGTCGCTTTGACAGAGTCAAAGCTTTAACGAGTCGATAATGAGATATTTTCAGTCGCGTCGGTGCGTAATTTTCTTTTTATAAGGATAAAAAATCTCGGCCTGAAGGAAAAAGAGGTGGCGTGTGTCATGTAATAGACAAAAAAAAATTGGTTATTTATGGCTAGCCTTTATTTACGTTCAATTAGACGTGATGTATATTCAACATTTTTATTATTACTTCTACCTTAATTATATCTTACAGCGTTAAAATTAAATAATTACATAATATGCGTCGGGGTATACGCAGAACGAGATGAGAAAGTACCGTTTCGATCTGGCTTCGTATACAAAGGAGTTAATGCTAGGAGATAAGAATCGCGCCGATCTTATAACATTGCCCCATTTAATTTCTCCGTCTCGCGTTCCGTAATAGTTAGCCGATTTTGCCGTCTCCCCTCCCCTGTAGGAGAAGAAAAAAAAATGATAGCGCTCGGGGCTCCGCGCTTCCGCTCGCGTTGCTCGAGCGCGGCTTTTTATCACGCGTGTTTATTTCGGTCGATTTCCGCTCCGCGGTAGCGGTTGCATCAGCGGCCTCGCGATAGCGCGCGTGGCGTGCGTGCGTGCGTGCGTGCGTGCGTGCGTGTGAACCGGGTCGCGGCATGGACTTTGATTGTCAGAAATACAAGTCGTCGTCGAGACGAAACGTTGCTTTTTCCTTTCCTTTTTTCTTTTTTTCTTTTTTTTCGTCATCCTTTCTCCTGCAGCATTTCGGCATTTCCCGCGAATTTGTAAGTGTTTTGCAGTTGACGCAACAACACGCGCGCGGAACGACGAAAGCGCGTGGGCTCCCCTGCGTGCTCTCGAACCAATGTAAAATCGCGTATTTTTTTCGCAACGGCCGCGTTTTCGAGAGGTTCGAGAGCGAAAAACGGACGAAACGACGAGTCCGTGACGTACGAGCGAGCCCGTCTCGCGCGATTTTATTTAGAAAGCCGAGGGAAACCGATATATAGATCGGGATGTTTATATGCCGTGGCGAGAGGCGGCGAGGCGATCGCGACCCAATTCTGTCGACTGTTGCATATAAGTATTTTTCATCGACTGCCACACACCGGGACTCCCTTCTCTCCACCTCCTCGCGGCACGGCGCGGCGCGGCGCGGCGCAGCGGCCCGTCCGTCTCGTATTCGCTTTCTTCCGTCACGCCGCATTTCGAAGTGCCAAACCGCGACAGCTCTCGTTTAACGCTCGGCTCGAATGGGATATTTCCAACCGTTCGCCGATCCTCTTCGTTATTCCGTTGTACGATGTTTCGGGTCCCTCTTTCGGGCTTCTCCGAGAACAGCTCGCGGATGAGAGATCCTCTTTCGCGAGAGAACCGTAACGATTTTACGGTACGAATCCTTGGGTTTCGTCATATTGCGGCCGATATAATGAAACCAGTTTCTCAGATCGATTCCACAGACCCTTTTAAGACTGACTTTGCCCGACTTGCGTAAAAGCAAAGCGCACTTCGATCACTAGCGATTAATTATGAATAATGAATACTGTATAGCAAACGTGTGTGGTACTTTTACCAATAAATAGCTCTATATTTTGTATGTGTTGAAGAATCGGAAGCTGATCTTTTTTACAAACAAACACTCTTTCAAAGAGAAAAATAATATTCTCTATTAGAGGAAATTATCTTTCTCTTAATGCATTATTAAATATCTAAGTTACGATTAAAGATCCAATCTCTCTACGATAACTGAAATATACAATTGTTAATAATTCTTAGAGAAGTATATTTTCTAACTACGATTATTTCCATAGTCTCCATAATTCTGCGATAATTCTGCGATAAGCATCAGCTTTAGCGTACGTTTTAACTCGTCAAGATACCGATCGTTTTTTTTATTTTTTTATTTTGATATCGAACGGTGACGAAGATGCTAACCATTCTCGTTGTTATTCTTGTTACAGGCAGCTGCGCGAAGGAACGCTCGCGGAAAACGGCCTACAGAACGACAGTCGGTTAACGCTGCTGCCGAGCGTGGAAACCGGATTGTTGGTGAGTTGAACTCTCGCGTCCTGCTCTCCACTCTGCACGTGGAGTATTAATCAAGTCGACCCGACGGCGCGCACTCCGGCGCGATAATGAATAGTTATATCGGTGATGAATAGTTATCGGATTTTTATCGTCGTCGCCGCGAAGGCGCATCACCGGCTCGCGCGGAGAGCTCGATAAAATTCGGTATGCTCCTCTCCTTCCCTCTTGCATCAAGGAGGAACATTTTGGTACCGCTATAGGAATTATATGATATCTATTTAACTATTGTCGAACGACGTCGAAAGAAAAAAAACCGAAATATTTAAACGTCCCTTCGTTCGAAGATCGGCAAGATACGCTGTCTTGGTCACGCGAAGGGCCAAGGGACAAGGTGCACGTCGATCGCGTCGGCAGGCCGGATCCGCCTGCTTTTTATCGAGGGATAAAGGTGTCGGGGACGATATGACCGAGAAACCAAGTGACCCGGCGATACACACGCGAACGCCGGAGAGTTAACGGCGTTCGTCCGCGCCTCCGTGTACGCTCTCCTCCGTTGCCCGAGTCAACCGGCGTCCTCCGCTCCGGCGGAACGAGTGAGGAACCGTTCCAGGACGGGAGACCCGGTGTGTGTGTGTATGTTTGTGTGTGTGCGCACCGGGTGCGCGCGAGAATCCGGGTTGCGATCGCGGACACGACGGAAAAACCAGACGACGACGTATTCCGTCGCGTCGCCGCGCCGCGCGGACACCAGCTGGAAACTCCGCTTGTCGAGGCCGTCGAGACGCGGCAGATGGAAGCTCGATGGAGCTGGAGTCCGAACCCGTTTTCAGGCGATCTGTATATCGAATAAATCTGATTCGCAACAAAATTCGGAACGACGTAGAGTCTATATCGTATATCTTTATTCTGGTACATATATGTATATATAAATTTAAATATATAGTTAAATAGATCTTATTTAATTGGATGTAAATTAATTTAGTTTCGTGCAATTAATTACCGTAGGAAATTCTTTACGTGTAGTACGGCACAAATTTCGAGCCTTATAGAAAATTCGCCCTCTCGTCGCGCTGCACCTCGCGCGCGGGACATCTGGCCGCGCGGAGCGCGATCTGTTACAGAAATCGGAGCGCGTAAACATATGACGTCCAGGCCATATGACTTCGGGCGACCGTAATGGTATGCGTATAGGTTCGACTGAGGTAACGTAACGTAACGCTAGCTCACAACCCTAACCGGCCGCAACGCGCGGCATACAGGTGCTTGTTCCGCGCGCGCGGAACGCACCAGCCTTTGGGAAACAAGGTGTAACAACGTCACGGAAATGAACTCCTCTCCCCCTCCCCCTCCTCCTCTCCCCCCTCCCGCTCGTTGTGCGTTTCCGCTCAAGAACCGCGGAGGATATTGTAGATATCCGGGCAAAATAAAACGGAGCTGTAAAACGTAACACGCTCGAAACTTCCTTGACTGTTCGCGAGGTTTGCGAGAGAGAGACGTCTGCAAACGTGGCATATAATATCCCTCGCTTTACCAGACGATGCTGCCGATTCGACTGTCGATTGTTTGGAATCACCTGTTCGCCTCCGGGAATAACAATAATAATAACATTATTGCGTGCACACAAGAATTGGATTACGATAAAGTTGGATAATCACAAAAAGCACGTAAAAGTATGTACACGCGAAAGATAAAACCAGCCAGCGAAGGCTTGTTACGTTACGACGTCCCTACCTACAATGAAAATAAGATGATCGCAAGATGGACAGAACAAAAAAAAATGGACGTTGTAGAATAGAACAGAATAATAGCAGAAAGATAATTTAGAATAACGTTTGCAACGCGGGCTTGTCATTTCTGAGACGTTAAATTTCCTGAGAGAAGGAAAGAGAGAGAGAGAAAGGGAGCAATCATGATTTTCTGGGATTCTCGAACCTCTCGTCTGCGAGCGAGCTCTCGATTACGGGCGTTTCTAAGCCGTTCTGGGGGTTAAAGGGTTGACGGCATTAGGGGAAGGGACCCGGAACGGAGGGCTTTCTCTCTTTCCTCTCCCGAGTCTGAAATTGACTGCGACCCGGGCTAGCAACAGCGCGCGCGCGCGCGTATGTCGTTCTCCCCGGGTCCTTATCGCGCGACCGAGACTTGTTCGCATGGCTGTCAAGGGGTCCGGCCCGCTCGGCTCGGCTCGGCTCGGCACTCTCGGTCACCCGCAGTCAATTTTAAAGTCGGCCTCTGTGTTGGCTCGGTCCCTACGTGCCAACCGTACGCCTGTATGTATGCGTTGCGTGCGCGTCTCTCTCTCTCTCTCTCTCTCTCTCCCTTTCTCTCTCTCTTGCGCGCCCTCGCCTTCGGTCGCCCCCTTCCGTCTCTCTAGCCGCGAACAGGCCTACAGGGCGTCGCGGAAAAAAAGACACGTCTCGGTGCGTTCTGTAATTATTTCCTGTAACGCTTACGCGACGGTTGTAACTCGTGAATATTCGCCGGGAATTAGATTTCCAACTGGATATCCCGTTAAACATTTTTGATAGATGGAATTATTATTTTCTATATGTATATATATTTCTCTCTCTCTCCAGTTGGGTGTATTCATGTATTTTGGGAGGGGGGGGGGGGAATTGCATTTAACTGAATTTAATACTTTGTATTGTAATTATTTGTGAAAAAATATTTTACGTCGCTTTCGCTACGTCTCGGGAAATGAATCTGAGGATTTTCCAAGAACACGTCAGCTTCGATATTATTCGTTAAAGGGAGATTCGTCCATCTTTCGTGAGCGTTTCCGAACTTGTCGCCACTGCTCCGCACGCTCTTCGGCACACCCTGTAGATAACACTCGTGGGTGGTTTTACGGGGTAGGGGGACGAGACGAGACGAGACCCACGAGCCGGGTTCACACAGCTCGGCTGCGAGAGCGAGCGCCTCGCGATCGAAGAGCAGCGTTTCGTAGCGCGATTTATCTCTGCGCCTTCCTTTTTTCCTCGTCCGAGCGCTCGCCCGACGACCTGTCGAGAGAGTAAGAGAGAGAAAGAGAGAGAGAGAGAGAGAGAGAGAGAGAGAGCCCGGTCGGCTTTTCGGACTTCGTCCGGCGACCAGCTCTCGCTCTTGGCTCGCGAAATCACCGTTAGATGTTGGCAAAATGGCAGAATCCATCTTCGCCCGGAGTTCGATTAATTTCGGTGCTCCTGGACCAGTCGCGAGACTCGGCAGCTTTTTACGCGCAACGCACTCGTGATACTTCCCAGCCATTCGTCGGGATTTCAACCTCGACCCTCCGAATTACTCCTGTCGAATCCGTTCAGCGATTCCCGGTGAAAGTTCTCACGGCGGACCCGCGATTAGAGACGTAATCTTTTGTGCGTCTCCACCGCGGATGTGCAAGGCTCGCGAATTAACGATTCTTAACAATATACGTATAAATAACGATTTATACATATATCGTTAAGCTTCGTTAATTCGCGCACCGTGTTTCTTGCACGTTATCATTTACGAACGCGCGATTTTACGAATGTCGCCCGTGACATTTCAAGATGCTTCTCTATACGAGTAAAAATTTGTTGCAGCGATTGCAAAAGAGAAAAAAAATACGTGACAAGTCATATGTATCTTTAATGCCTCCATATTTCATTTTGGGAAGTACTTGAAAACCACTAAACACGAACCTGTAAATCGCCGATGGAAGCGTAATTAATTGTTTCCTGAGATAAGACGAGGGCTTCTCTAAACTAAACTTTCTTCAAAGGCAGATTATCTGCCTTGAGTCATTTTTAAATATATTGCCACGATATTCATTCGTTCGGTATCTTTCGAAACACGTGAGAATTTCTTTTGACGCTTTAAGTATCTTATATTTAGGTACTAGAACTGCCCAAAAAAAAAGGTTTAAATGAGTAATTTGTAATTTTTTTATTTACTCAAATGTGTAACGGTATATTTTTTAAAGTTTCCATAATTTTTACTGTGATATATGTATTTCCGTAAATGATTAATTTAATCAATTTATTTTGCTTTTTATTCCTTTTTTCAACTTATATATATTATACTTGATAGTAGAAATTAATCGTTGGTAGTTCTACTATTAAAGACGACAATCTCCTAAACGCTATCCTTTCTAAAACCCCTCCAGTCTTCGCATCGTCGTCGTTCTTGTTCGCTCGGCTAACTACTTTATCCAGTCCCTGGATTTCCGGCGTTTTGGCATTAAACGGCAAACGAGATTATCGCGTTAAGGCGTATACGATACACACCCACTTTACGGTAAATTGATTTCGCGGCCGAAGATGACGGCAAGCGCCAGTCGTCGTGCGTCGGCTATTTCCGTCGGAAATACAGCGGCCAACGGCCGCTATTAACCGTTGGGATAATTGCACGGAGTTATAGACGGATTATCATCGCATTTGATCGCGCGCCGATTCCGAGTTTTCCTTTCATTTCTGGAATTTCAAGCGAAATGAATTAAGGGACGCGCGCGCGGCGGCCGGGAGGATTGAATTGAGCGAATCATTTTTTTTTCCACTCGCGTGGAACGGGGAAAAGCAGAGATTATCTCCGCGTAAAAAAATATCCGCCAAAATATCCGATATAAAATTCAGTCACCGTGTATATGTACGCGTTATTTTTGATGCAACAAAGGGAGAAAGGACTGGAAATTCGGTAAAGCGATATCCGAGGATCACGTTGCGCGTATCGAGCTTTTATTTTCATGGATCTGCACACGTTTTCCTTTGCTCTTTACACATAATTTATTTTGATTTTAATCCAGAATAGCGGAAAGCGCGAACAAGTTCATCGCCAGTTACGCGATTCGACCGCGTCAGCGTTTAATCTACTCTTGACCCGTATCGCTTTTATTATCGCTTTCACTCGTTTAGCTTAGTTAGTATCAGCTTTCGAGGAGTTCCGAATATGGCGGAACGCGCGAGGGATCTCTTCTCTTCGTGCACAGAAGTCCTCGTGCCCACGATCGAGATCGCGCACGGATTTGGACAGTTTTAACAGTTTTTCTAAGGAGCTCGGAAAAATGGATTTTTACAATTAGGGAAGTCAAGTCTGTACGTAAACGACTATATATCTCCTTTCTTTTTGCTCGAGGAGTTTTAAAGAGAGCGAGTCGCGCAGCCGCCAGCCTCGCAATCCTTAAACGGTCCATCGCGATTCACGAGTCCCGCATCCGATCGATCCGCTGCCGCGCCGAGGAAGCTCGCTGTGGGAGACTCGGGTGAGATTGGGTGCCGGGAGTGGGCCCGATTGGTTAATCGTTTTGCAAGAGCGTTTCACCGAGCGACGAGATCGAGCTTGGGACACGGGCTCTCCGCTCACGAACGAGCGAAAGAGCGCCCCGATTTCGTGGCGGCGGCTGCGGCGGCGGCGGCGAAGACGACTTGCGCAGCCTAATTCACAAGGACGTAAAAATATGTGTACAACTCGATTTTTCTCGAGAGGTCTTAAAGTGCTGCACGAGGAGATAGCGGTCGATCAGTTCAATTCTAGCGAAACCGTTTGAAACTCTTTGAGAGAGATCTCGTCGTCGCTTATTCAAATAAGACATTCGCCGAGAAAGTTTGTGATATGAAATTACACATTTAATGTTCCCATGCGTATATGTTTAGCATTTTATTATATCCACATTTATTTATATTCAATTGAAGCTTTTAATTGATTATAAATAAATAGCAAATTTGTAATTTCAATTCAATTTTAAATTATTTCAAAAAATTTTTAAATTGTAAATTCAAAATTTTTTAAAAATTTGATCAAAAATTTTCGAAATGCTTCCATATTAAGAGGTCACATAATATCGAGAGGCTTTTAACCACGTACCACGTTGTGATTTCACGCAGGAAAGTAGATTTTAATATGCAGAAGGAATCCGCGATTTATATAGCCACAAGCGTTTTAAAGGCGTGCCGTTTTGGGATACGCCTCGCGTATACATAACGAAACGTGTATACGCTATATACATATACTTACTTCCTGTTTCGCTTTGACACCGCGCGAACGAACGACTGATACCGGTATCTCGTCCTTTAGTCATAAATAGAGTTTAATGCGACACGTGGAGCGAGCGCATCGGCTCGATGGCAGCTCGAGCGCGGCGCCGTTTTCGCTGCAGCCGTTTTGTGCAACATAGTCCGGTACGACGATCGCGCGCGTGCAAGCGACGACGGGGTCGATTTCTTTATATTTAGCGTCGGCTAGATTAATAATTTATAGCGTCGCGCACGACGGCGCATACGGCGAAGTAAATTTAACATCCGCGGACTCTCTTCCGCGCCGTATGTCCACCGATCGCGACGCTACACGGATATCGACACACGCGGAGAGGGGTAGATTCCCCCCCTTCCCTCCCCCTACCCCCCCCCCCGTCCGATAGTCGGAGGTCTCGAGATAGCGTATTCTTGTCTCGGGCTCTCGTTGTGCAGCGGAGGCGATAGGCAACGCATTCTGTTTATCCAGACGCTTGAACGGTGACACTCGAGCGCATTTAAAACTGCAGAACACTAAGAACGTGATACGCAGGCACGCGTGAAGGTCGCATTCTTGCATGCGGCACGTTTATGCTGCATTTTTGCCCCCTCATCGAGCATCGAGACGTGATCGATCGGCAGGAAAATGCGGGCTCTGTCCTGCTAAAACTCTACCTGAATCCTTGTCGTTGTTGCGTTAAACATGGGTACGACGACAAAAAGCACGCGGAGGAAAGATATTTATTTCTGTCAATGCCGCATGGCCTTTTTGACTTGCCCTCTTTTTGAAGCATTCTAGGATTCTTAGAATTTTGAGAGTCTCTTTTGGGAGAGACTGCATGGTCTTGAGATTGCGATCCAGAAATGACAAGAGAATTTATCCAAAAATTAAACGCTATGCTAGAGGCTCTTCCTCGAGTCGATTAAATATCTATTCAGCTTTCTTTCTAATTTACTTTTATGTGTGCAAATAGATAAATCCTTCATTTAACCTCCAAGAGAGTTAGACTTTATTAAATACTTGCTTTTTAAACGAAATTATAATTATTATATATGTAACATTTAATTATTTACCAGAATTTAACCGAAAATTTAAATATAGGGATGGTATTTGCGACAAAATTTGACCTTGTAAAGAATTCACTTTGCATGATAAAACTTCTAACAGGTGCTTCCGATATCTACGCGTTTTTTTTTGTTTTTTTTATATCGACTGATTCTTTGCTACAGAGGGAAAAGTCTCTTAAAAGAAACGCGACAGACTTCGCGACACGCTCGGCGCCGCGGTTTCTGCGAAGTCCCGGGACTTTCCTTCAAAACGAGTCCGCGAATCGAATTACCGAATCCGACGATGACCGCGTCCGGCGAAAGGAAGTCCGTTAGGTGTGCGTGAGGGATGCCTAACTGTGCTCGCCGAGGGTCTGAGCCTCGGTACCGCGAGGTTTCCTCTCTTCTGCAGGTCTTCTCGCGCACTTCTATCTCGTACCGCGGCCTCATCGATTCGCGCGGTCTCATCTTGCACGGATAGCACGCGGAAAAAACCGGCAATATGATCGTTATTCCGTCGTAAGAGAAGGGGGGGGGGGAGAAGGGAACACGGATGTCGCATTCTGAAAATCACGTCCGGACGTTGTTTCACCGACCGTTCTTGAAACACTGGGAACTAAAAATGAATAGGATTACTAAGTTAATTGCAGATGAACAAATAAGCAATTAGAAAAATAAACTCCCTCCTAAATGACGCAAGAATTAATAGAGCGAAGATTAAGCTTATCTTATGTTAGAGTGAGGCTTACGTCATCATAACATAATTTCATGTCATAATTTTTGCCTAATTAGGTGCCTCTCTTTATCAATAAATGTAGAACGGAAAACTTGTGTCGCGTATTAAACGCAAAAATTTAGAGTTATTATTAATTAATACTATAGATAATGTAATCGACATCTCTGTTATTATTATGAACGAGTCGATCGCGAATCGTAACCGACTCGTAACGCGGATCTGATAGAATAAATAATAAACACTCCGTCCGTTGGCAGTGAGTCTGTTAAACGAAATTGTACTTCGTGTTTCTCTTTTCTCGCGTCTTACAATGCTACAATAATTCTAACATCACGTCACAGTGCTTTTATAATTCTTATACATTTATTTTAAGTTTAGATAATACGTGTCTTTATGTAACGTTTCTTTATTGATAAGTGACAGCACAAAACAGGAAATTGTGTCACGTATTGAACGTAAAAATTTAGAGTTAATATTATTATTTAATACAAGATAATTTAATCTCTGTTGTTATTACGTTGAACGAATCGCGGGCCGTAAAGCGGATCTAGCAAAATAATAAACATTGTCCGTTGGCAATGAGTCTGTTGAAACGAAATTGTACTTGGTGTTTCTCTTTTCTCGCGTCTTACAAATGCTACGTTAATTCTTATAATTATTTTACAGTACTGTTATAATTCTTATAATACTTTATTTTAAATTTAGGCATATTTTGTATAACCGTCTTTCGTAAGACTGTGCGTAGATAAAATAAAACAAAATTTCGTGAAAAATTAATTTATGTTATGTCAGCATAATGTAATTATATTACATAGTGCTGTAATTATATTACATAGTGCTGTAATTATATTACTTTACAGTAGCATTATTTTACAGAGTGCTGTAATTTTTATAATACCAACTTTCTCATATATATAATTAGTATATTAATAAATATGTTAATAAAAAATGCGCTACATAATTAATTAATACGTCACTATTGTTGCACTTGCCTCGCATTGCGTCTCGCATTGTTTTATTTATCTCGAAGACGCGAGCAAGCGGTTCTCGCGTTAATCATACGTCTCTCGATAGCGACATCGAATACGCAGCCGAACCGTTATCATTTCTGAAATAACGATCCTCTCCCATTGTTTCAGGCGCAACGACCGGAGCAGAGCGTAATGCAGGCCTTGGAGAGTCTCAATGATTCACAGGTGAATGACTTCTTGTCCGGTAAGGCGCCGCTTAATCTGACGATGCGACTGGGCGACCACATGATGTTGATCCAGCTGCAGCTGTCCACCGTAACTCCGGCATCGCCGACTGCCAGTCAGGCGAGTTCCGCCAGCAGTAATAGCCACAATCATCACAGCAGCAGCAGTAGCAGTAGCAGCAGCAGCAGCAGCGGCAGCAGCAACGTCGCTGGCTTGCCCAATGGTGGAAACACCACGAGCATGTCCAATCTGTCTGGCGGTCACTCGTCGTTGCAAACGAGAAGATGTCTGACAGCCAGATCACCGTCAAACATCGTCAAGCCGCAGAACGCCGCCGGGGCACCGGCTGGGAGAACGTCGCATCTAATTAGCAGCCTCGCCAGCGCCCTGCACGCAGCTGCCAGCTATAGCAGCAGCGGAAGCCTACCCAGCGCCAGCATCACCACCACGACCACCAGCCCGGTATGTTCCAGCCGGGTCACAGCATCCTCCTCGTCCGTCTCGGCGGCGCCAATTAGCCCGGCGCATTCATCGTCGTCGTCCAGCAGCAGCTCAGGCCAGTCACAATCCGCGCGTGGCAATTCGCACGGCGTGCCACCTACGAACGGCAATTCTTCCAGCGCGTGTCAGCCCTGCCCGCTCTATCACCACCATCATCATCATCACGGCCATCACCACGGTCATCACCACGGCCACCATTATCACCATCACCATCACCATCATCATCATCATTCGAGGAACAGATCTAGCTTGCCCAGCATTTCCGCCTCCTCTTCTTCCCCTTCCTTCAGTTCGGGTTCGTCCTCGATTCAGGAGCAGTCCGCCTTGGAGCCGACGTCGTCCTACGACGCGACGCTGCCCAGGAAGAAGCTCTGCAGCGGCCACCACCATCACGGCCAGCCGTCGTCGTCCGTTACCACCGGTGGCGTGGACGCCACGAGGAGTCAGCACGAGGAGTCGAATCCGCAGAGCCCAACGTGCGCCTCGCCGTTGATGCTGGAGCAATCGCCGCCCAAGCCCGCCACCCTCGACACCCGGGCGCTCGCCGAGGCGTCTCGAAACCTCACGCAGAAGCTGAAGCAGCTCTCCTCTGAGGTACTCACCTCGCGGGTCGACCTCGCAGAGGTATACATTGTTACCGAAGCCAGTTCCCCCCTGTGTATCATTATTCGTGATTCATATTCGTGATTGCACGTCGATTAAGGTCCTAAGAGGTGTGCCGTAATCGGTATCCGGTATAGCCGTGAATTGAATTGTCTGTCATGATCTAATATCTTTACAAATTGGATTATTTGCGAGATGGACTTGTTCGCTGACCAAATTTATTTCTCGATTGTAGATAAGAATTAAAAGGATGAATGCAAATTGCTCATATATACTCTCAGGCCCTTAAAAATTATCATATTTATGTACTATATACTTAGCGTCGTTTTACATTAATTAACGTTAGTGATACTCAAATTTTATTGTTCTGTACAAAGTGTATATTCTCAGTTAATATTATGCATTAACACTGATTTCGCATCTTTTTAAGAATTGTTCTTCTGTAAGTTTAGCATTACATCAGTGTAAAATATCTATTCTGTTTTTAAACACATTTCATTCAGATAAACTTACACCTTATAAATTCATTATATTTTATGTATTCGTAATCTTGAACAGAGTCTAGTAACATTGTTTCGACTTCTTTAAGTAATAACATAACATACAATTGAATTTTGTATGTTAATTATTTTAAAAATTCTAAACTTCTAGAGAAAATAAGAAATGTTAAAGGTAACGAAAGGACAAAAAGAGGAAAAGGTACAAGACATAGGAAATCAGCTTTTACAACTTGTTTGCTATTAAACATAAAAAAATATTTGTAAAACATGTACATTTTTTTTAAACACATCAGAAAAGTATGTCGTAAATCATTATACATAAGTACGAAGGGCGTACTAATAGATACAAGCACAACCTTACGTGCCTCTTTAAATTTAGGAGAACGCGAGACGCAGGCAAGGCGCGATAATAGAGAGTATGCATCATCACGGCAAGGGCGTGTATTCCGGCACGTTCAGCGGCACTCTGAACCCAGCCCTCCAGGACAGACACGGTCGGCCGAAGCGGGACATTAGCACCATCATTCACATCCTGAATGACTTGCTCTGCGCGACACCAGCCGCATCCGCAGGCCACTACAGGCATCATCATCACAGGCATTCGCATACTCGCCAGCAATCCTCCTCGATGTCCGCATCTTCTGCAGGCACCGCAGCCGCCGCGAATGGATCCGCTGCGTCGGTCGGCTGTCACGATTCCACACCAGGCTACTCCAACGGTGTGCATTTATGAATTTATTACTGAATAATACTTTCAAATAATAAGATTGAAAAAAAGATTTTATATTGTTTTTAATCTTTAGAGGATGCGATGACATTTAGACTTCTGTAATTTTCAACTTAAAACTCTGATGCTGTAGTAATATTTAATTTATGAAAAAGCTCGAGAGACCGCTTCAAAATCGATATATCGGCTTCCCATTTAGAAAAAGACGATAAAAAATGTTTTTTCTTCACAATCTGTTGTTGAAATATTTTATTAGAATTATTTTCACACCTTTTATAATGGAATATATAAGATATAGAAGAATATTAAAATTTTCAAGATGAAGAAACAAGAAATACAGATTATGTCAGTATACATTAGCACACTGTATAGTACATGAAATATCAATATAACAAAACCAAAGAAATATGTATCAATAAAATTATTATTTCAGACGATAAAATAAAGAACATCGATCATGCTAAATTCACTTGCCGTTAAATCGGCTTTTCATCCTCTAGAGATTAACGCACTAGATACTAAATATAGAATTAAATTATATTATGCGTAATAATTTAATATTATATATTGGTGCCTTGTAATTACACGTTTGTAATTACAAGTTACGTGTGTGTAACACATTGTTTTTATAAAAAGGTCTGTAACTTTTTGAGATCTTGATGCCATTAATCTCCATTGATACTAATGCGCCGCGTGGTGTTTGGAATGCAGAGGAATTGTCGAAGGAGAACGAGGCGACGAAGGGCAAGATGCGCCGGCTGCGCTTAGTCATGGAGCAACGTCGCGCCAAGAGAAAAGCCAGACGACAGGCGCGAGCGGCGCCGTACACCACGCAGTGGGCAGCGATGACTCCCGCCGACCCGAACCACGAGCCGAACACGTCGACCGCGACCTCGAGCACTACCGCCACCGCCAACAGCGCGGAGCCGCAGAACGAGCCGGAGCTTCAGCCGTGCAGCCCCGAACCGGTCGTAGCTTAAAATACCACGTCACTAACAGTCAATTCACGGCACAGTAGTATCCTCTATATTCGTATAAATAGGGTATGATTGTCACCGGTTCTTTTTTTTTTTCTTCGTTTCTGCCTATCGCACTGATTTATTCCGGAAGGAGAAGAGAATGAATGCAGGGTCGAACGTGTCCTATCGCGCAAGTTTACACTCGTTCCGTACAACTCCCGTTTCGCGCAGCCAAACGCTGCAAAACGTTTTTAAACGTTTGATTTGACACCCGTTTACGTTGATACCCCGTAGTACACGGTCTCGATCATTACCGCGGATCCGCTGAGTTTCTCTCCGTATATGATGCAAGTGTCTCGCTTTCTCCGATTTACGTTACCTTATGCAAATAGACGTAATCCTCGCGAGGATTCGCTGGCTGATCGGAGCACGAACTCTAATCGAAAATCCTTTCTTCGCGCATAGCGACTCCGACTCGTTCAATGTAACACTTTTCAAAAATATTCTTGTTTTGTCTTTGAAGTATCTTAGTCTTAGAAACAAGAGTCTTCTTTTTTTTTGCTATCTTTTCAATTCTCTTAGAATATCGGAATCTTTTTTGCTATGCAACGTGTATTACACGCGTCACTCATTACAGTTGTCCCATAAAAAACCACTTGCAATTTACCTTCGTCCATGGACACATCGTTTCAAAAGTCAATCGCGTTTTCATATTACTTATCGTCAGTGCACAATGACAACGCATTCACGATTACATAAACGTTTCCCGCGATGACATGTGAACCATTGTAGGCGCACAAGGGACATTTGAACGTCTACAAAAATGGTCGTGCGTGGCGTTACGGCTATATATTAGGTAATATATAGTGTTACCGCTATAATAAAAATGTATATTGCATACATATATATATATATATATCATTACCATTATATGTATTTAGTGTAATGAAATACTGGGTATCCTACGGCTATCGTTTCTCAACGTTAATAAAAACGGTGATCTCGCAGTGTTTGGCCGGACTCAGGACTTGATCGTAGTTGACAATAATTACGCTCGGCGAATGAATCAGTGTGACGGTTATACGTATCTATATATACATCGGCATCGCGCGGGCGGCCGATGAGTCGTGAAAGGGGAGAAAGAGAGAGAGAGAGAGAGAGTGAGTGAAAGATACAAGAGAATGAAAGGGAGAGAGAGAAAGAAATAGAGAGCAAGAGCTCTTATTAAGGCTCCTATTAAGGAATCCTATATTAAGGAACTTCCTGTTAGAAGTAAAACTCGCCGATAAACACGCCACACGCGTTTAAAAAAAAAAAAGCGGAAGAGAAGGGAGGCAGGATCGCCATAGTTTTGTCTGTGCGCGTTTACTACGCTCTCTTGACTATTCTCTCGCTATTCGGGGCACTCGAAGTCTCATACGTAGATGCGAATAGAATCCTGATCGACGCGCGTTTGTATGGCTCGCAGTGCGAGAGAAGCGACGGCAAGTCTCGCGTCTCGCACTCGACGCTGAATCGTCGCTCTTGAAACAAGATGAAAAAAAAAAATACTGCAGGGAAGGGGGGGGGAAGAGATAAACTCGCGCGCGATGGAATCTGTGCAAATTTGTACTTCGCGTCCCGATCGATATAAATCACCGTATATTTTTTTTTTGTAAGTAGCAAGTGCACTTTCCAACGTCTTCTTCGAATTAAAAAAAAAACAGCACTATACGCATACGCGAATGATGTACGTTGAGATATTTTCCATTTGAGCCTTCGGTGATTTTGTCAATTACCGCTAACGTTTTGTACATGGTTCCGCGCATTGTTCACTTTACTCGTGTGCGTCGGAAATGCAAAGTAGCAAGAGAGTCAGATATAAAATGAGAGTAAAGCGAACAACACGAAGGCTTGTACCGCGTACCTCATCCAATGTTACGGTCTTTCCAATTCGCGTGATAGACTGGAAATTGGATGAAACGCAACAAAAAAATATATATATCGTTTTACTTGGCATCTTTTCTGCGTTTGCGTTCCGTTCTTCGATGCCTGTTCAATTAATATTGGTTCAGTCAGGTGTTCCAGATCCGTACCAATCCTACCTTCAGTCGTGAAAAATACGTCATTTTAACTTAATCGCGTTTACGAACGAACCGAAGGAAAATAGCAAAGAGAAAAGTGAGGAGAAGAGACACGAGGGGGAAAATGAAAGATTATTTTCTACGTTGTACGTAATTTATAGAACGATCCAAAAATAGGGGAAACCATGTGTCTAAGTGAGGCGTGAAGCGGCTCACTTAATCGAGTTGGAAATAGCTCATGTTCATTAGTTCTTGCGGAGCATGTGACACACGGTGAAATACGCTGTATATCTTAATCGCTGGTGAATCATATCTCGACACTTGGTTTGCCCTTTTTCAGGATTTCGACGTTATACATTATTTTTCGAACAGACGAAATGGAATGGACGGGGGGGCGAAGGGGAGGGGGGGGGGAGAAGAAGATTCACACGAATCGAAGAAGGCGTATAAGGCGGTTCTATAGGATGAAATGCGTTGCGTGAAACACGTATTGCACGGCGTGCTACGGCCCCACGATTTAAGTTTAAGTTAATTAGGTACTACAGATAATACAGTGTCACATACTACTAATAGAAATACATTGCGTTTAGGTTTACTTTAGGAGAAGAAAATATTATTACCATTATTACATTATTATATATCATTAGTATACCGCTATTACAATTTTTGCAAAACTGGCTCAATATTGTAATATACGATTATCGGAACCTTATCGAGTACCAAAATAAATAAGATTGCTTGCTAAGCTAAGGACAAGTTTATTTTGTGCTTCTCTCTCTGTGCGTGTGCGTGTGCGTGTGTGCGTGCGCGTGCGTGCGTGTGTGTGTGTGTGTGTGCGTGCGTGCGTGTGTGTGTGTGTGTGTGTGTGCGTGCGTGCGTGCGTGCGTGCATGCTTACGTGCGCGCGCGTGTGAAGTCTGGGCCTCTGTGAAGTTGGTCTTACTTTTTAAAATTCAAAGAAATAATCAAAATTCCGGTTGCCCCCCGAAGAGTTTGCTATCGATTTTAGAAAGAGTTCCGTTGATTAAAGCGATGAAAACATGAGGAGGAAGGGCCAATTTCACATTTCTGTCACTTTAAAAGGCCATAATTCTTGTTTTTTATTTTAGCACGAGCATTAAGGATAATTAAAACTCTTTGGGGCGACTACCAGAACTCTCAAGAAATTGTCGGAATTCCCAAAAAATTTTGTAAAAATTTTCGAATCCATACTAGTTAAAAAATTTTTTCAAAAATCCGAAATTTCTTAAGAGTTCTAACGATTATCCTCAATAATTGACGCTGACAAATAAAAAACTAAAATTTTCCAGCGCTCCGGAAGTTCTGCGCTTGAAATTTTCTGAATCCATGGAGCTAAAAAATGTTTTTATGGATCCAAAAATTTTTACAATTTTTTAAAATTTCCGGCAATTTCTTGAAAGTTCTGATACCCCCCCCCCCCCCTCTCCCAGAGTTTTTATCACTTATTCTTAATGATTACGCTAAAATAAAAAACAAAAGAATTATGACCTTTTAAAGTTACAGAAATGTGAAGTTGGCCCTCCCTCCCATGTCTTCAAATGGTATTTTCATCGCTTTAATCAACAGAATTCTTTCTAAAATCGCGATAGAGAACTCTAGAATTCTTCGGGGAGCAACCGAAACTCTATTTTTTTCGAATTTTAAAAAAATGAGCCAACTTCACAGAGATGGTGGTTGTTATATGCGTTTGTCGTTCTTCTTATAGCTCATTTTTGTAATGTTGTTCGTCATTTTTACCGGCAACACGATTAGCAAACAGCGATAGAGAAGCTTCTCCCGTTATAAAGTTTTAACAGAAGGAAGCGTATATGAAGGGCACACATTGCATTAGATTAAAGATTCATCTACCGTCAAATTGTTTATTTAAATTACGCCTTAATATTACAATTGTAGAAATCTCCATCGACGCTTAAGAGTTACGCTGTAGCTCTATATCGTAATATAACATCTTTCGTAGTGTACGCCGCAGATATCTAAACGACAATACAGCTATTATTACAAAAAAAAAAAAGAAGAAAAGATAAGAGAGAGGAAATGAAGGAAGGAAGCTAATATCATCTTGAATCGAAATCAGATTGCACTATCGCAAATTGTACGTTTGTCGTCGTGAACGTAAAATCCGCGATACGTTACCCTGAAAGGACCGCTGTCGCTCCAGTATGTGCAGCAATGATCCATGAAAGTCACTCGACTTCTCCAGTAGAAATTAGCCGACGTAAAAAAATCTTATTGATCACGCATCCTCCGATATGCTCCGGGGTACATCTCTTACGACTTACTCGTAATAGTATTAAATAGAACTCTTTTACACGCCGCGAGTACAAGTTTCCTTTTCGTTGTGTTGAGTAGAAAGGCAAGACGTTTAATACTGATGAAAAAAAAAGTTCTCCCAGAAATCACATAGGGTTTCTTTCTGTGGTTAATTCGAGGATCCCCCAAAAAAATCTATCCTCGCGTTAATAATAAGCTTGTACCTCGGCAATCGTCGGCGTCGTTATTACATGCAAACGCATTGCTTTCCTTTTCACCTGAAGGTTCGTCCGTGACGGGAAGCGCGCTTAAAATTAATTGGTTCCGCTGCTGTCGCATTCGATCACAAATGAATCACTTTATACAATCGAGTACAATTATTCTACCTAGAAAATTTGGCTATAAGACTGGATGTTTCCTATTAGCGTATCTTATTCATTACGCAGAACGCGATCGGGGTAAAGGGGATACATTTAAACGTCGCATCAGACTCGCACAATTCGAATCAATAGGTACTTTCGTCATTTTTAACGGAACGTCTAGAACATCAAGAGAACATTCCGTCGCGATATTTAATCCGCATAAAATGGACCGGGTCTTATCAAATAGCATATTATAAAAGCATAGTACAAAAGTTTTATACTATTAATATTTTCAAAAAGCGACGAGGAAATGAATTATGAAACCTCACCAACCAACAAGAGATCTCTCGGCAAAAAATCTATTTAAAAAATTCTTGATTATAACAAATCTAAAAATCGAGACGAATAAGAATTAATTAATCTATTATCTAAATGTGCCCCCTTCCCTTCTACTGCGCGTGAAGCGGCAGGAGTTCGCACAGTTTTCGGACACGTGGAAACAGTATTCTTTTCTTTTTCTCCCACCCCCTCGCAATAATGTAGCGATATGTACGAACGTTTCTACGAGCTTCTATGATTGTTGTCGCATAAGCACGATCGCGCGTTTTCCTACGTTGAGATGAGAAGCTCGTTCTTTTTCGGTGCTCGTTATCCGCGCTCTCTTTAAACATGGATAAAAAAATGGACGGGACAAAGCACAGGCGAAAAACGCCGATTCGCGAGGGAGAAAAGCGTACAACGGTGTACAATCGTACGTCGCGCGTGTTCGTCGGGACACAAGATACCTCTCGTAACTCCGGTATTAATTAATCTTCAATAACAGACTACTTAACTAATCGCCTGGGCAGAACAAAAGGTAACGTAAGACCGAATTATCTCGTGTCCGGACGAACGCGATTCTCGCGCGCAAACCTGTCTCGCTATGGCACGACGTTTGGTGCAATGTAAGAGCTTCGTCTCTTTCGTACGAATGCTTGTTCGCGGAAAAGGAGTGTACATTTTGGCAGTTTTTCATCAGCGCGCGACGTAACGCGCGTGTCCTTCATCAATCAGCTGACGAACGTTCTTCTAGACACCCCGCGGCTGGCAAAGCTTCCCGCTGGGCAAGTAAAAACAGAGTGTCTCGGAGGAAACGTGTAATATATAAGCAAGTAAAGAAATTTCTGCGAACACGTGTCCCTCATTCTCGACGGGCTACACGTTAGAATCCAAATTGTGAAAAATTGGACGCATCAGGGCTGTTTTGCTATTATTATCACTGACACCGACATTTCCCTCCCGAGACACTCGGTACACGCGCGCACCGCGCGATCGGAACGTTCCGATCGCGATCATTGATCGGAGTCCTAATACAAATTTATCTTCTTCGTGATCGTCTTACGGCACATGTGACAGGTCTTCAGCGGAGCGGCGCAGTGCTCGCACGCGCCGTGCCCGCAGAGGAAGGCGACGTTGCGACGACGTTCCATGCAGATGCTGCACATATTCGCCTCCTCGAGATCCGCGACTCTGGTCTCCAAATAACGTAGCCGCTCCAGATCCTTGTCCTTCTCCTTCTCCCTGTCGCTGATCTCTTCCTTCCGGTTGCCTTCCGACGATTTATCCTCCGGATTGGCTACCTCGCCTGTCGCCAGTTGACCGTCTAAAGAGATGTGCGAAAAATAATGTAAAACATCCGCGTACGGTTTCTACGGGATTTTTTGTAACTACAATTTGCTACGCAGAATATAATCTCGCTGATGCAACAAACGTTTACCTCGTCATTCCTCAGTTGAAATCAATTTACAGTCAAATCGGAAAATCACGTACCTTGAATACCCGTTTGCGTCTTGACGACGGCGTGGCCGCAACGTGCACAGCCAACGAGCGTGACACTACTGCCGGGATCAATTCGGTTTTCCTGCTTTGCGTTGTCCGCTATGATCCCCGAGCAATTCTGACACTCCGCGGCGTCGCCGGAGCCGGCTATATTCTTCGCGCCGCGCAATCCTTCCGACTGCGATATATTGTTTATCCGATACGTAGGTGGCTCTACGTAACCAGTCGACGGATTGTTCTCTATTCTGCAAGACGAATTACATTTTACGTTAATAAAAACTGTATTGTCAAAATCAATTAAGTATAATTCCAAAAGCGTTGCAAGATTACTTTTCAAAATATATCAGTTTAACGTTGCGTTTCAACCAAATTTACATTACGAAAACCGGACTTGCGGAATGTATTAAAAAAAAAAAAAAAAAAAAAAAAATTAGTCATCCGTCAACTTACTCTAATTGCGTGCTGTGACTTTGGTATTTGTAAGATCGCAAAAGATCGGCGAGCAGAGCGGCCTGCGGATTGCCTTCCAGAAGATCGAGCGGCGTCTTGTCCTTGTTGTTTTTGACTTGCTCAAGGAGCTTGCAGCTCCTGTCCACGCTCACCAGGAAACAAGCTAACGCTAATTCAGTCTTTGCGCCTTGCCTCGCCAGGTTCTGCCATATCTGCTCGAAAGAAGAAATTGTTGGTGACAAATTATTCCTTCCCTTTTTAATTTTCTTTTCAAATTTTTAAGCTTTTAAATATAAAACAGCAACTATATATATATAGGTATATATAACCGAAAAAGACTGACAAATTATTCCTTTCCTTTTTAATTTTCTTTTCAAATTTTTAAGCTTTTAAATATAAAGCAGCAACCATAGATATATATATAAGACTTGTTCATGTATTCACGTAAGAAAAAACTCTGAGACAAGACGTACAGCGTATATAAGCGGTGAATCTCTGCTACTTTCGGGTGCAGGCACGGCAGTCTGTTGATTCGGGCTCTTGGCTATCGCGATATGCAGCACGGTGTCACCGTCCTCGTCCGTGCTGCCGATGTCCGCGTTGTGATGCACCAGCAGCTCGACGAGCGGCCAGTGTCCCTGCGAGGTCGCCAAGTGCAACGGCGTTTGCCGTCGATTGTTGCGCAGATCGACCTTGGCGCGGCCGCCGTTCTGCGAGAGGAGGATGGCCGCGACTTCCCTGTGCCCGTTCAACGCCGCCAGATGCAGCGCCGCGAATCCGTCCTCCTTCTTGACGTCCACCAGGTGACGCGCGCGCGTGACCAGCCTTTCCGTTGCACTGTAAATTCACAAATTCACACAGTTAAATTAGACTGATCGAATTTTCGATCGCTACTGCTATACGCAGACGTACTGAGTCGTTATGCGATTACACTTGAATGCCTTATGTATACGTACTGAGCGTTGCCCTTGAGCGCGGCGTGATGCAGGATATTGAAGCCCCGTTTGTTCCTCAGCGTGAAGTCAATCCTCTCGCAGGCGCATAACGCGTCGACGACATCCAGCGCGTCCTTCCCGATCGCGTCGTGCAACGCTGTGTCGCCGTACGAGTCCTGGAGATTGACGTCGCAGTGATAGCGCAGCAGCACCCTCACGCACTGCACGTGCTGCTTGTTAACTGCCACATGCAGAGCGCTGCATCTGCCGTTATTGACGGCATTGATCGACGCGCCTCGCGACAACAGGAGGTCCATTATCTCCGGCTGATTGCTGTTTAGTCAAAACGAGTCGAAACACCGATTAGTTAGTTAGTCCGACGTCAGTTTTACGGTAGACCCGGCGACGATCAGCCAACGTACCCGAATGCCGCGTAATGTAAGGGCGTGTCTCCGTCCTCGTCGACCGCATGCAGAGAAGCGCCAGCGTCGAGGAGGAGGGTGCAGAGCTCGCGCTGACCTTGGTGCGCGGCCACTTGCAGGCACGTCTTTCTGCCACCGCCGGGAGTGCACGCGTCCACTCTGCCGGGGTACTTCCTTAGGAATTCCCGTACAGCGTCCACCGCGGCTTCGCCTCTAGCCGCGTCCCTTAACAGCTTCTCCACCTCGCTGTCGGTACCGTCGGCTACATTCACGAGGACAAATTGACAAATTGACAGACGGTCTTATTTTACACGCAGCAACACATGTACAATATATAAAATCAATTAACTTAATTTAAACAAAATCAATTTTCTTTTGACAGTTTGACATTTAAATTTTTACCTTGCCTTTTATTTGATTCCATTAACAAATTCATGTAATAAAAATTAACGTACCCGAACGATCCCTACTCCTGTTCGCATTATCGTGCGCGGCAGCCGTAGCGTTCGTGCCGGAAGACACCGGGACGACGCTCAACGGATTAAATGTCCATGTATGACCATGTATGTCCAACGCCACGCGCAAGTCACCGTCGGAATAGATTTTAATTACCTTCCCGGTTTTCCCCAGAGCCTGTGACAAGCACGAATATATCACACATCCGCCACTCTCGTACGTGGTAGTACCGGTATATAAAAAAAAAAAAAAAAAAAAAACAAGCATACAAATTGCTTACTTACATTTTTCATGACGTCTATCCATTCACCGTGGCCACGTTGATACTGCTTGACGGCGGCCAGGTCGCTCTTCACGCGGACTATATCGCCGAGGGAGAAGCCGTCCTTAGCGGTAACTTTCGTCAGAGCACCCGGATGGAAAGTCCATCTATTGTGACAGCCGTCGTACTGCACGCGAATATCCCCCTTGTCCGTAATTCGATGCACCGTGCCAATCTAGATTTCAAGTTAGGAAATTAAGTTACACATTCACGACGCATCTCATATATTAATTTTAATTAATACATTAAATATATTGAACTCCTAATAAGAGTATTAACCAGAATCAATTAAAACTGAATTTTTCCTCTAGTGATAAAACCGAGATCCAAAGGATCTAAGATTAAACTTCAATTGACATTAATTAATGTTTGTTTCAAGTTAGAAAATTAAATGATACGTACACGATCTCATATTAATTTTAAATAATATATTAAACTCTTAATTTTGAATAATATATTGAACTCTCAATAAAAGTATTAACTACAATCAATTGAAGTTGAATTTTTCCTCTAGTTACAAAACCGAGATCCAAAGGATCTAAGATTAAACTTCAATTGACATTAATTAATATTTGTTTCAAGTTAGAAAATTAAGTTATACGTACACGACACATCTCATATTAATTTTATATAATATATTAAACATATTAAACTCTCAATAAAAGTATTAACTACAATCAATTGAAGTTGAATTTTTCCTTTAGTGACAAAACCGAGATCCAAAGGATCTAAGAATAAATTTCAATTGGCATTAATTAATGTTTATTTCAAGTTAGAAAATTAAGTGATACGCACAACGCATTTGATATTAATTTTATAGAATATATTAAACATATGGAACTCTCAATAAAAGTATTAACTATAATCAATTAAAGTTGAATTTTTCCTCTAGTGACGAAACCGAGATCCAAAGGATCCAAGATTAAACTTCAATTAACATTAATTAATATTCGCGGGAACAATTTATAAATGATCGTGCAATTTTTTTTTGCGAAATACCTTTCCTATGTACTCCGCCATACGCGGATTCCACCCGCCATGACCGTCCTGCATCTCCTTCAGCGTGTCGACCTCCATTAGCACTTTCACCTTATCGCCGACGTTAAACGTTAGAGGATGTGGACTAGACGTGACGCTGGCGACACCGCTCTTTGTCGGCGTCGTGCCGTTTCCGTTATCCGGCACGGTCAAGACCGGTTGGCCGAGTAACGGGAGGTGCTCCTTGTAATAAGTACCGGCATTAGCCTCCTCCACGTAACACAGATCCACGCAACCCTTGAAGCCTAATCGATATACATTAGTGCTACCCGTCGACCACGTGACGGTCGCGACGGATCGACTGCTCTCGTTGTCCCATCCACGTATGTCCATGACTCTGCCGGTCTTCCCTGGAATATCAGAGGAAAAATTAGATCATCAATTTATCACGCGATTATATAATTCACGTGTAACCAATTTAAAGCAGCAAATACCTCGTCCGCCGTCCTGATTTCCCCATTCCCAGTCCGGTCCGCGAATGACTTTCGCTCCTATGAAGATCCCCTTCAGAGGTACCTTCGCGCACCCCTCTCTCGGTTCCAGACGAACTCTGCGCACAGAAACGTAAACTACGAAGTTGAATATCAGAATGGCCAAGTACAAATTTAATTAAAATCGAACCTCTACCCACCCTACGGAGTTCGCTGTCTGATATCTCTCAAAGGTGTGAGTCAACTCGTGCACGTCGGCCATGTAACACTGCGTGCAGAGATCGTAGTCGAAGCACACCGTGCACTTCCATCTGATACCGATTATCCCGTGCCTCTTGCAACCGTCGCAAATTATGTTGGAGTGCTTGACGCCAGCGGCCGCGTTATCGAACACCAACAGATCGTAAGCACCCTGATAGCCGATTCTATAATTACTCCTAGCCCCGTGATCCCATTGAACGATGACCGTCTTGTCGGGCGTCCGATCGGTGGGATTCGGACTGGAGGTCGAGGTCCCCGTGGAGGGAGGTCTGCCGATCTCCACTATCGTCCCAGCGTGACCCTCCCCGCCGTCCTGATCGTCCCATTTCCAGTCCTGGCCGCGGACGACTCGCAGACCAACTTCTAGCATCTCCGAATATATAAAATTTGGCTTCTGTCCCTTCAACAAAAATAATTACATATTTACATTGAACGTTACAAGGTTAAATGCCTATAATGTATCGCGCACGTAGCCCACTTTTTTTGTTACGAAAGAAACATAATAAATTAATATAATAAATTACTAATGAAAAAAGGAGGAAGACACAGTAATTATATCCCTCCATTTTACATGATTGCAAAACTTGCTTTCTACACTTACAGGGAGGTAATATTTCTCTATTTTGTACATACGTTTTACAAACAAAAATAATAATTCACAACAAAATTCTCGTTGCAAAGATAGTTGTTGTATTTACTGAAACACACGGACGTACTTTAACGGTATAAGATACAAAATTATCCAAAATCATTAATTTAAACCTAACAGTTTATCATACTAAGAACATTCGGCAAGTGTAATTAATGAAACGACAATGCTACAACACGTTTCACGTGCACGTGCTTAAGCCTGATTAAATAGACAGAAACTGTCGCGTCTCCTGTCACAGTGGTCCGTATGTCATGCACGTCATCGGTATGATTTCTTGCGAGCCTTCGCTGACGGGAGCGCGATATCCCCGTTCGCACGATCCATCCCGAGAGCCTCCCCCCGGGTGTCTAAACCCTAACTCTAATAATTCCTCGGGCCAGGTGCAACCGAGCGTTCCACGCTCGATCCCCGGAGTTCCGTTTCCAGGCGCGATTATTCCGCGGGAGAGACGCGGAACGGAGACACGCAGCCGCTGTGTGAGTACCTGAAGGCAACCCCGGGCCTGATCCTTATGAATCATACACGGCGAAGTGGCGGCGGCGGCGGCGGCGGTGGTGGCGGCAGCGGCGGGGACAACAACGACGACGACGACGACGCGGCCGACGTTCCGCGGGCCCGTGCCTGGCGGGCACTGGTGTGACGCGCGCTGTAGCTGGCGACCGGCCGTGGGGTAGAGCCGCCGACATTACGCGGCATCGTCGCCGGGGAAGATCACGCGCGCTCCATCGCCGCGTAGGACGGTGCGACGGGCGACGACGGTGACGACGACGGGTGTCGGGAGTTCTCACGTCCGCGATGCTGACGACGATAACCTCATAACCGGGCTCTCGCTGACGACGCTGGCGCCTCCTTCGATCCGGGAGGAGGGGGGGGGGGAGGGACGGGGGCACGTCGACCCGCCGATCCGACACACGGAGAACTAATTAGGTGTCTCTCTTCCGCTTCTCGCTCGCGCGCTCGCTCTCTTTCTCTCTCTCTCCTTCTCTTTCTTTCTCCGTCTCTCGGTTCTTTCTTTTCCTTCCTCCTTCCTCCGAATCGGATTCCTTTTCCTCATGGTGGCATTGCCTTCCCCCTCCTGCCCCGCACGAACGTCAGTACGACGGAATTTTAATTGGATCTTTATTTCCTTTTATAACAACGCGCGCAAGATAACAGCTCACGTAGATAAATGTAATGCACGACAAACATACATCGAACACGATACAGTTTCGAGCGTATATTCGAGGTATGTAAGTATATGCATCGAATCTAGATATTTGTGCATCGTGATCGTTGACCGTCCGGGGAAAACCGTAACGTCACGCGGCAGCTGATCGGCTTCGATCGGCTTGACAACTTTGCATTCGATATACGTCTAATGAATGTCAGTGATACGTACAGCGATATGTAAATTCTATAATGGCATGCAATCAGAGATTAAAGGATTATACTTCGACCAAACTCGATAGATTGACCGATTGAATTAATTTACTTATCCAACACTTATATTAGCAACATTAAACAATTCTTTATTGTTTAACATATGGAGAAAAAGATTAGATTAAAGGAATTACAAATTATATACATTTACAAAATTTTGCTTTAGTTCTGCCAAACTAAAGTTTGGCAGAATATATATATAATATATATAATATATATAAATATAATTATCAATTAAAGCTATTCGATGCTACAAATGCTTGGAAGCATTTTTTAACTGCTAATTAAGTAAAATTAACAAATGCTTGGAAGCATTTTTTAACTGCTAATTAAGTAAAATTAACAAATGCTTGGAAGCATTTTTTAACTGCTAATTAAGTAAAATTCTTTCTTCTGTTTAATTAAGTCAAATGCTTGGAAACATTTGTGGCGTCAAATGTATCTCACATTAACTTAAATCTAAAAAGTTATTTTTTTTTAGTTTCTTTTTTTTAATCTTCAAAATAATCTTCAATAAAAATAATAAAATAATCTCAAAAATAAAATTTTTCATATAAAAAGCATCTACATATTAATTATATAACTTTTGTAACATTCTTCGTGTATGCTCACTCTGGATTAAACAGGCCCACACTCTTAGATCCATAATTTTCTTTGTTTTCTTGATTGTCTTCCGATTTCTGTAAAATATCAATAAAACATTTTTTTTTTAAATCGTTATACGTGTAACAAAAAGACATTGCACATACAGATAACATTGCCTGATTAAAACACTTTTGATCGTCACATCTACACGCTGGATTACATTTGATATTTCTCTTCATACAACCGCACGTTCGAAATGAGCAATTCGTTAGCAAGCAGTTGCAAACATATTTTTCAACGTTGGCCGTTGCCTGTGGAGAAATGGCCTCATGACGTTCGTCGAAAGTTACGAAATTTGTTTCCCTACTATGCTGATATAAATCAATTAGCAGCTCTCTTTTTTTCTTCTTCAAATTGTCGATTTCTTTTGACAAGCTGCTAAAAAAAATAGATTCTTTTATTATAATCATTAACATAATGTAAAGTAATAATTACCATAGAATAATTTTATTGTGACGTAATAATAAAAAGATTATGGTAAATATATTGATTAGGCGAGGCAGCCCTTATCTTGACCTTGACATATGTTGTAAATCAGTCCCTGTATGGAATCTCGCTTCATATGGATTTACATCAACTCGACTTTCCACACGAAGTGAAATTGCACATGGGTTTATAACTTTCTACATAAAGTTTAAATTATTTAAGTTCAATATATTTATATTGTCAGCTTATTAGTAACTATTTAATGAACAATGACGGCTAAAATTTTTTGAAGATTCACGATCATGATCTTCAACATATATCAAGATTAGGACTGCCTCATCTAATTGACATATTAATTATAATTATTCTGAATAACTGAACGAAAGAGATTAAACGCTCACCTGTTATCTTCAACTTTCGGTTTTGCTCTTTCCATTTTTACTTATATTCGAAACGAAACCTTCGCAACTTGCGACTTACAAAGTCTGAGACGCGGACACGTCCGACACGCGACACTGGCAATTGTTGACAATAGCCCGAATTCAGTTTAAAACCTTCCTAAGTCAATCTTGAGAACTCATAAGCCAATCACAGAGCCGTACGAGTATCACAAGACTATACTTAAAACGACCTTAAATATAAGACTGTGAATAATGATCGTGAATAATGGATTTAAATTTTGGCGATTTTCCTTGTAAAAAAAAAATATTATATAGATCCACACAACAGGATTAAATTAAACACAGTATTTACAATTGCAACAATATCTCAATTATTTAATTATATTGATCACTATTTTCAAATATTATAATAAGATTTTTATAATACAAGAATATTGATTAACTTCATAAAAATTATTCTTGCGATGTATTTTAATATTCAAAAAACGCATTCTCAATGCGACTGCGCTGTCGCGCATAAAAATTATTAACAAGTCACTATTTTTATTCAGTGACTGCCGTTAGAACATTGAATGGTATTCCTACTTCCGATTTACGTTTTCTAATTTAGAATGACAAGATCTATATCATTTTTCACTTTTACAATTACAGACGTACGCTTAAAATTAAAGTAAATATATAAATTGTATGTAATACAAATATATATGTGATGTATTTGCTTCATGTGAAACACAATTGTATGCAAATATTTTAAAAATTATAGCTTAAGTATAGTACGTATTATTTTACAGTTCATATAAGGTCGGCATTACAGATCATTATACATGTAACGCTATTATCCCTGATATCATTAATCATACACCTCTCAACTGAATAAAAAAAACTTTGTGTATCGAAAACAATGAACATATTGAGCAAATTATATAAAGAAAAGTTTTCATAATGTCCTTTTAATCATTTTAGTATTGGACTTAAGCGAGACTTAACCAATAATCAATGATTAATATCTTAATTTTTATACATTAATAAAACAAAATTATGTTGTTTATAAACATAAATAAATATTAAAATCTAGCTGTACAATATGTTAAAATCATTTACAAGTCTCAAAAGTTTCTTTTAAGCAGCATTTCTGATATGCGGCAGTTATTAAAGCTAAAAAAACTTTTAAAGGCGACTTTTTTACTAAGCTCTTATTACCTAATCGGCAATTAACTTGTAAATAATTATCTATATTATTACTGCAGCTGTACTTTTATTAATATTAACAATTCTGCTGTAAATAGTTTTGCGGTTAAGAGTTTAGTTGCCGATAAGATTAATCGGAGTTTAGTTGACGCCGTCTCTTATAATTTATATAATAGATGTACATATCGTTTTGACTAGCTCAAATTTGTTATAACTTACGTTATAATTTACGTTATTCCTAATAAATATCTTCATGTCATGTTACTTAAAGTAGTCTTATTTTTTGGATAAAGTGTTATATCTCGTCGAATGAGACGTCACTCAAAAAAAAAAAAAAAAGTAAAAATAAAGACAATCACGTTTCATCTTTTCTCGCTGATTTCAAACTCCGACTTCTCTCTATCGCAAATTACAGCCATGGGTATTTGTCCCGCGTAGTTCGCAATGCTCACAACAGCGCCAGCTTTCAGCAGTGCCTTCATCACCAGCTTGTGACTGTTGTCTATCGCGTGAAACAAAGACGTCCGTCCCGATTTCATATCTTTCAGGTCTACACTCGCACCGGCTGATAAAAGTGCTTTGATCCCTTGCAAATTGCCGTGTATACTGCAATAATGTATCGCAGCGAAACCTTGAAAATCAGAGAGAGACAGAAATAGACGACGTTAACGAAAACCTGTACCGGGATTCTCAAACGCTCAACGACGCTTTGTCGTTATCGTTGCGTGGCCTTTCTTATATGACTTGTGTGTGAGAAAAGCTGCGCAACGATACCGACAATCGTCGTCGAGCGTTTGAGAATCCCGGTACTGGCCACGACCAGTTCTGCAAACTTTTTTCTCTTCTCGTGTACATATAAATTATCCTACCCTCCGAGTCAATTTGATCGAGCAATTTCGAGTCCGAGACCCGGCTAATGAGCGAAGGCAGCAACGGTGACGATTGCTTGCTGGCTATGATCACTGCCGTTTCGTGTACGGGTTTCCATATCGCCGGCTGGGCACCTGCATCGAGTAAGAGCTTCACGATCTCGCTGCGCATGCCGTATTTGATCGCCAATTCTAAACTCGTCTGTAAAAGCACAAAAAATGATTGTTGTGTCGCGTCTTGTTACAATAAGATAATATCAAATTCGAAATTAAAAGAACGTACCATTCCGTCCTCCGTAAATACATCAACATTTTGATTGCAGTGCTTAAGCACCATTAGTTGTCTCTGAACGAGGGAGATGCTATCGCTCACGACGGCATTATGTATATTCAACATGCCGTTCTCGTCGTATTGTTTAACACGTTCGAAGTCCCTTTGTAGATTCTCCAAAAGGTTGTTGCACCTCACTCTCGTCATCGACAGAGTCTCCTTCATTTTGAGCGCGTCCGAATCCTCCTTCCAAAATTGTTCCAGGAAACTGTCCAAATCGAAAGGATCCTCTTGCCCGAGTACGTCAAGGTCGTTGGATCCCAAATCATTGGAGGGCAAATTATCCGCGGGCAACCGACCCGCTTCGTCATTGGGCCTGTCGTCGCGAAGAGTAATCTGATTCAGCCGGTGAATGTCATCCAGGTCCTTGTTTATTAATATGAAGGATTTGGGATCGAGTAGGCCGAACACCGCGGTCTGCACCTGCGTGTCGTGCACGGCCTTGTAGTTCTTCGGACACATCGGCACGTATTTCTCCATCCCGATGCCGCAGTCCGCCAGAGCCTTCAGCGCGAGCTCGCGCAGCGCGTTGTCCTTCACGCTGTTCATCGCCTTCTTTATGATGTTCAATCGAACCTGCGCCATCCTCTTCTGCTGCAAATCCTTGATGCGTTCCTTGGTGTGCGCACCCGAATGCGCGTTTGCGCCAGCGTTTCTAATCTGTTGCGACTCCGGAACGCGGGGGTACTGACAATTGTTGACCCGCCTGCAATAATTGTTGACAACTAAGTAATTATTTTGAGATCCTGCCTTCGAGCCCTCGCCTTGCGCACTGTCAGTCTTTCTGTCGTGTCTAACCGCACCACGATCCACGACCTTCGTGTGCATTGTATTTTTAATGTCCGCCTCCGCCAATGGAGTATTACATTCCTGCGCCACAACTGCGTTCTGATTAAACGAAAGAGGTTTATTATTATTAGGTATAACTGTCATAACATTTCTTACTTCAGGCGTTGCCTTAGGAACTACGTTAGACGTTAGACTTAGAGTTACAAGTGGACTATTTCTATCGTACGAGATCTCATCATTGCCTCTCTTACTGCTGTAGCGCAAGCTTTTCTGATTTGAATGCCTATCGTTCTGATTGCACGTCTGCTTAAGATTCGACGCGCTCTTCAGAGACGTAACTATCTTCCCATTTTCCGTGTTCTTTATAACGGCAATGCACTTTCCTTTACTCATCCAGGCCAGCGATCCGTTGTCTCTATTACTAGAATTCATTGTCGCAGATCTCTTTGAGTGATTTGGAGAAAATTCGAGAATTTCCGGAGTCGAGGGGACTGCAGTTGAACTCTTACTTTTAGCCGTAGTCTCTTGAACAATTTTTGTACAATTACGAGTGTCTGCATTATCATCATCATCTATTACATAGCATTTTACATCCTTGTGGTAATCGCTATTAACAGTGTGACGCAACAGAGAAAGTTTAGAACTTACTCCACCCGTAGAGCGCGCCTTAGCGACATTAATACTATTACAATTATACATCTGTCTATCCATCTTACCTTCCGTACCTCGACTGTTCATAATTTTACTTGAAGCTGTGGATTGCGATTGATGCAACACGTCGGCACTGCCAGTCCGAGAATCGCTCCTGCCACAAGACATCGTTTTCAAGAGATTGCATCTTGGAAACTTTGCGGCACCTGGCTTGAGTATCCGCGAGGTTGCTCTCGCATGCAGGACCGGGGACAGCGGTAGCGTCAACGGCTTGTCGGTGGGCTTTGAAACGGATTTGGTAATCATAATCGTCGTGTTCCCCTTCGACGGATCCGTAGACTGTAGCTTCACGCTGAACTCCCCCAGGTCCCTCCCGCGCGGGGACAGGATTCTCAGCTTGTGCAGATTGTACGGAACTTTGTTCTCCGCGTTCGACGACGTCCTCGCGGCATCGCCGTGCGCGACGGCCGACGCGGCGGGCCTGCTCGCGCCGCTCGCCAGGGTCGGTTTTGCGCGACCGGAAGACTGGAGATCCCGCACATGCTGCACCGGTTGCGCTCTGTGCCTATTCGGCAAAATGCATTTCTTTTTCGCCGGCGCGGATCTCGCCGGGTTGTCCATTTATACACGCGATCCTCGGAAACGATCGACATAAAGCCTCGCCTCCGCTGCCTTTCGCGCCACTTCTTTCGATCCCGCGGTGAAGTCCCCTCACGTACAGTCCCACATGTGGGAGGGTATAACCTGTGTTGAACAAACGGAGTATCGCATATCGGAGTTGAAAAACTTCCCCCGTCGGGCAACGAAATACGTGTAAGATTCAGCGAACTCGAAGAAGACTTACCAGGATCAATTGCATCCGCGTGCAGCAATAAAGAGGATTATCATGTTACGAAACGGGACATCCCTGGGCCATCCCCCTGGATTACGGTCTTCCATGACCGGTTAAACCGTTCTGGAAAAATGTAACGCACACGCAGCGCTTGAAAACGAACGTAAAGCGTGTTCGGCGGACAAAAGGAGCTTGATCGGGGCTTCGGCGAGCGCGCTATCACGTCGCTCTATCTTTATCGTTCGTTGAACGTAAAACAAGGATAGAATGACGCGATCGCCCTGACGACGCGCTACCCGAACGCACCTCAATGAGTGTTCAGTGGTGCTCAGTTCTTTAATATGATTGGTTTTTACCTGCAGCTTCTCGTTGGATCAGAATAAATAAATTAATCGTAACAGAATCACCTGAAGGTGGAAACGAGGAAACGCGGAAGACAAAATTAATTAGATTTCACTGGATTCCCGCGTTTTCCTTCCGTCTCGTCCATCTCGTCGACCTGCAGCTGCTTGCAACTCCTATTGCAGACTCCGCACTAGAATTTTAACCTATCAGGAACAGCTGAGTATTCTCCTCATTTTTTATTGTGATTGGTTAATTTCCCATTGTGGATCCTGCATAAAGGTTTACTAGAAAAGCTGTTTTTGTCCGCGCAGCCTCTTTGTTACTATTGGTAACTGAACTCAGAGATCCATTAATTATTAGAATTAAAGTAAAAGATCATATCATATTAAACTAATCATATTAAATTACTAAGCGCTCATTGATCTAGTTTACACCAAACACTTGATATACATATTAACTTACACAGTAATTATTACTCACATTAATTTAATTATTACTTACATAATAATTTTCTATTAAATTTAACTTAATTTCGGCGATGAGTATGAATTACATACATGATACGTGTATTTAATTGATTATTTGGATGCATATTGTACCAGCTTGGTACACCATTCTTTAAATGCATTGCCAAAATTAAGATAATTTAATAAAGTTACACTAATTAATATTATGATCAAGTGTTCGATATAAATTAGATCACTTTATGATGTAAGAAGACAGTTTTTTTTTTTACATCATGAATCACTTATAATTTGTTTGCTGTTCAGTAATTTAAGTGGCCATTAATTTATGGAACGCATATTGTTCACCTAATGTAAATAACATGTAATATATAAACATATTTTATTATTATTAAATTTTTTGCTACATTTACCAGAAATGCACTATTCATTATTTTTGATAAATTACTGAATCGCGTGCGATTTGACATAAAAGAAACGCATGTCATCCTTATTAGAACATGTCTTATAGGTATTTGCATAATCGCGTACACAATTCATCATATATATATATTATCGCATATGTACACAATTCATCAAATTGCTAATTAGAGGCAAGCTTGTAGAATGCTTATTATAAATATTAAATTTTGAACTTTTATAATTGCTTAGAAATATAAAATTCTTATAAATCATATCCATATAATTATTTATAAAAAAGGAATATATTTTTCAAATATTGCGAAAAACACTATAATAGTAGTAAAAATATTCTGATGTTTTTTCGATATCGAGAAAAATATATTTATAATATATTTGAATTTGAATCATATCTAGATTTGAAGTGTAAAAAGAAAATTTCCAAATGAAGATATGAAATATTTGAATTATCAGACACATGAATCCATCGTTAATTTATTCGAATAGCATCCTATATATATTATATATTTTCATTAATTTTTGTATACAGTCTGTGCAATATATCGTAATAACAGCCTTTGATCGCTATTATTATCGCTGGTACAACAAAATTTATAATCATAACATGATAGTGCTATTCTATTACCTTTTTGTATAAATATGGTTGTTTAAGAAATCGTAATGTCATTGTTCAATAATTTTAAGAATCTTTGTACACATAAATTAAGATTCTTCCACATTTCGATCACATATCGCATATTTACAATTCTGAATTGTATCAGAGCGCGGAGATTTCGACCTATTATTATTGTTTATGTTACAAAGTTACTAGACCATGAGCGGTCACTTTGTGGGCTATCACGTGCCCGTACTAACATACTTGGCGAGTCGTGAATTCGACTCTTCAATTGGCGATCTTCAATTTTCCAAATCAAACGTGTAGAAATGTCTATTCACGAGGTATTTTTTTTTTTCCGAGACATCGAGGTCCAAATACTCATTTATGTACCACCCGCTCAATCGCGAATCGCGTCTCAAAGATCCGCTTTGCGTGCGATATGGTGCTCAACTTTAATTCCATTTACTACGTTCATTTCTCCTTATTTAGCGCTTGAATAAATTCTTCTAGTTTCTCTTGAATCTGCCTAACCCGTTCTGAAAATAAAAATGCTAATTAGTAGCGTAATCTAACAGCAATAAGATAATTAAGTATTTACTATTTAATACTGATCACGCATTTGTTTTATCACTTTTATATTTAAATAATATATTTTTTATATTTACTTGCTATATTTAAATTATATATAAGTTAATTTTAGTAACAATAGCATAAAATTATTCGCCACACTAGAAACACATTTCTAAATCAATTCAAGAGCCTTACACTTTTATGAATTATAAGAATAATGAGATTAGAGAAATACTGCAATACGTACTGAGTTCTTCCGCTAATGTGACTCGTCTGCCTGTGAGTAGCTTCGCCTTAATTTCATTATCTTGACTATAGTCCTCGAGGACCTCCTTGATCTCCTTGTCCAGCCTCCGAGCCTCTCTATTCATGATTTGTTGCCTAAGTGCATTCGCGGTGACTTTCAGCATTTGCTGAATTCGCCAGAAGAGCACTACGTCGTTGCATTCCATCTGAAAGCATCCTGTCTATGAACATGTGTAGATGGGCGGATTTCAAGCCGGTTATCTGCGTGCGCGTTATGCAAGTCTCGTTTTCATTCTTTTCACGTACCTCGTTTTCGTGCCCGGTGTGGTATAGGTAATACCCTTTTCTGCAATCGTACGCTCTCGCTAAACTCTGCTGCAGGAAATATCTCCTGTACACAGGATGCCACGTATCCCGAATGAATTCGTTGTCAACCTCAAATCCGTTTCTCTGTAGGTTCTTCCTAATAGCCGTAAGCTCGTCCTGCGTTAGAGTAGGTGCGTGTCTCTGTAATCGGAAATACATGATAGATAAATGTGGCAAAACTGCAACAGAGCGGTTTTATTTGACTGTAACTAACCGTGTTATACGTACCTTGTCGGCGTAAAGAATTTTATCCAGCTCGTTCTTGACCGCTGTGCGTTTCTGTTGCTCCTCGGATTGGCTCTGCCAGTACATCCATCGTTCCTTGCGATTAGGCCCCAGCATATCGCGCAGAATCTGTTCGGTACTCAGCAATTTTTCCTTAACCGAGGTTTCCAGGAACCGTACTGCCTGGTCCCAATCACGCTTGTCGTTCACGCTTCTGTCTTCCAAGATGTTAAGTTGGATAACGCGTAGCATTTCCGACGCCTGAAAAAGGAAACGTGCCTTCTGATATCCCTAATTCATTTATTAATATTATAATCTTTAATAAAAAAAAAAGAGTGAGAATAAAAATGATGAAGATAAACCAGAAAATGTTTTTACATTATATAGCTTTACCTTCTCTTCCCACGAATGACGCTTCATCGCCTCATTTACTACGGCGTTCTTGAGGCTGTCGAAAATATCGTCGTGATCCGGGCTGAGCCGAGCCTGCGACATAAAATTCTGAAATTCCTGCTGCAAACATTCCCATCCACTTTCGACGCTACGCGCGGGCAGTTGTTGTTCCGCCCAATTCCGGAGCTTAATGTCGACAGTGGTGTTAAACGTATCTGTAACAGAAGAGAACTTCTTACTTTTAGGAAACTTTCCGTCTGTTCCGACGGAGCGGGAACAATCTACTGTACTTGGATTTCCGCTTTGAGCAGCTGGCAGGTAAATGTTCTCGAAAACGTGCATGCTGACTTTGTCCCAATTTCGAGCCATCAGCACTTCCTCCCAGTGTCTCGGTGATACCTGGGACAAGTTGACTATCTCGTCCAAAATTTCGCCCCGCGCTTTTTCGAAGAGCTCGTCTCTGTCCAGTTCCCTCAACCTGTAAATATATAATAAGTTAACGAATTAAAAAAATGAAATAACGTAATGAGAAAAAAAATTGCCTATTTTTATTATACTTGCCTCGGAAAATTGTTCTTCCATTCCGTCTCCAAGTTGAATCGCGTGGCCTTGAACGCGTCCGCTTGTTGTTCCACCGTCTCACGAACCATCTTCCAGAAGCATTCAGCTACCGCCAGACTCAAGTTCTTGGTGGTCACTTGACCAGACATTGCTAAGCCGTCTCTAAATAATCAGAGATCCATTAACGATTGCATTTAACGTCGACATTTAATGTTTTCGAGTAGGCTCGTGTCTAGACTCACTTGAAGAGTTTAGAGTTTCTAAAGAACTTCTCCTCGTAATCCTTGATCGTCTGTATACTGTCATCCTGTCTGCCACGACCAGTGACTACGGCGAAGTAGCCTAGCGCTTTCATCGGGAACAGTTTACCAGATAATATCTTGCGCAATCTTTCGGGATTAGTCAAATTTTCTTCCGCCATGTCAACCTGCCGTAAGATAACATCAGTTACAGTGATATTTGCATCAATTTTAATTAATTTTTATTAACGTAAAAATAAAAACGTTTCGTACTTTCGTCAAAACGAAGATCGTTCTCTTGCCCGATGGATCCATTTGAGCCACGAGGTCAGTCACGTTGCTCCTTTCCGCGTCAACGGAGCCGTCTTGTATGCAGAGAATGATCGCGTTGGGATTGCTCATATACTGCTGGCTCATATGTTTGATCGCCTCGCGAGTGTCCTCGGCCATATCGACGGTCACCGTCTGTCCCAAGAGCGAAATTTGAAAAATTTGCAAGCAAGGTTCTCTTGAAAATTTATAGCACACAAGTGCATCGTGTACATACGCTAATAATACCAGGTAGATCGACTAGAACCATACGCTGAAGGCCCGGTCCCTTCACCGTCATGGAAATGACGTCCGGGCTGACCGTCTTTCCGTTCTTAACGCTATTCTTCATTCGCAGCTCCACCTCCCGTCTGAGCTCGGCCAACTCCGACTCCTTCGTGAGATCGAATTCTCTGGAGCTGTCTTTGAATTGCGCTATGTGATACGGGCCCTCGCTCAGTGTGACTTTGACTGGCGCTCTCGTCATCATTTCACCTCCGCCTCTGTAAAGCAAGGGCAATAATGAACGTCAGTGATCTTCATGATCCAATAAATAATCTGCGAAGTAGCATCAAATGGTGAGGTACCTTGGAAATATTCTTGCCTGAGCAATCATTTCGAGTACGGATGTTTTGCCGGAGCTCTGGTCACCGACGACCACTACTCTGGGTAAATGATCAGCAGTGGAATAGGCACTATCGTAGTCGCTAAGCTCATCCAAGACATCGCTGTACATATCGATTAATGACTTCTGCAAAGGCAAGAAAAACGTGGAGTACGATTGAAACAAATACGCTGATGCGGCATATGTTCGCGAGTTACCTTGATCTTTTTGTTGGTAAACTTCTGACTCCCTCGTAAAAGTATCTGCTTGCGCAATTCTTTGTTCTCCCTTTCCAGTCTCTCTATCTCGCGTTGATATTTCAGTTGCATCTGCATCAGCTCGTCCTGCATGGCGTTCATCCTCTGTTGCGAAGATTCTTCAACAGAAAAGAGAAAAGAGGCATCGTGAGAATGTAATGATTTTTGTTCGTGAAGAGAGATCGTAAATCAATGATATGTACGTACGAGCTTTCTTACGTTCCTCCTCAGTATTATTATCACTAGCCAATGGACGTGCAAAGGCAACCACATTTTTGGACAACTGCTCTTTTGTGTCTGCTTAAAAAAAATAAGACATCGCGTTTTTTTTTTATTTGTAACAATTTGTAATTTGTTCTGCCAATGCAAGAAAGCTAGTATCAACTGACGTGAAAAATTAGTAGGACTATCTTATGTGTATAAGTAGTTTTATGCGTGTGACAAAATTACAATAAAAAAAAATTAATGATGAATTGCTTAGTACATGCAAGCTAATGCAATAAAATAAAAGCAGCGAATGGCTCTGTCCCATTCAGTATTTAAAATATGTGTCCACTGTTATTAGATCCTACAACTATATATATTTAATAAATATAGCTTATGGTAAATATATTTTACATTTACCATAAAAATTTGCAGAATTAAGTTTCAATTTTCAAGAAGCCACTTGTCTATAAAATGCTGAATGGACAGAATATGGGTAAAATAATTTCAAAGTCTTTACACACCTGAATAACTTTGTTTTGCTACCATCGAGATGGTATCAAATGCACCTGAACAGAACAGACCACGATAAATTAACAAAAGCATGTGGCATAGAGTGCTTTGCGAATAAATTACATATCATTAAATTTACGTAAAATATTTGTGTTTTACAAAATAAATTTCTTCTTAAGAAGACAAATAAAGGAGTAAAGTTGGGCAAATTTTGTGCAAACAACAAAATTGTTATGAAACTTGACACAGAGATAGTATGAGATAAAATATGAAGAAATCAAATCAAAATCGAGTGGCTAAATGAAGTAGATCCTGGTGCAACAGAAGACCGACAATGGGAAACAATATGATCAATCAATGATAGTAACTGAAGATTTTTATATTCGCATTCAACTTGCCAATTGCCATTTATTTAGTGAGTTATTTAGTGTGGTTATTCAGAAAACCATTCACGAACAACATTATTCTATTGCCAAAGCGAGAGTGTACATGAGTTTCAAACAGGTGCTACCCCTACACGATCCATTTTCTGATTTTTGACCAGGATCCACTCATTTAGTCTTTTGGTTAGTAGATTTCTTCATATTTTATTCTCATACCATGTCTGTGTCAAATTTCATAACAATTGGTTTTGTACCACAAAATTTTTACATACTCCTTTTCAAATAACAAACAAAAAATATAATATCGATGTTAACACAAGTTGCTTCATCATGCATGTATTTTTTGCATACAAGTAGTAAGTTTAAATGAATTCGTTGTACACGAATAAATCACAAGAATTAAAGAAATTGGAAAAAGGAACTACATACAATGGTATCAATCTATATTTTGTGATTAAGATGATTGGCGGAGGAGAAAATGTCAGGCAAATGGAGGAATGTATAATAACGGGAGAATAAATGGACAAAACGGTAAAGGACGTTCGGTAAATAATTATATAGGACGTTAGGGAGTGACGTGATGTACGAATATATAAACGAAAGAATAAAAATAATAATCTCATCACTCACTCTGTATCGAGCTATTCTCTTGGTAACTATTCTGATGGCTTTCCGCTGCCTTAATAGCGTTATCCAGTCTTTGATCGAACCAGGTCCTATACTCCCGATACTTAGCTACCCCAAACTCCTTTATGCGTGGATCTATTTGCCAGTTATTGTTTTTTATCGCAAAAATCATTAACGCCCTTTGCTTTGCCTCACATTTTCGCAGATTTAAACTACGGCTATACACTCGTCCCGCTTACCGATCTCGATCTTGTCGGCCACGTTGCTCTTAATCGCCATGAGCGACTCGCGGAAGTCTTGCCATCCCTTATCGCTGGGCATCAGATTTTCCAGCCATCCCAAATCCGGCAGACCCTCCTTCCACTGCTCGTATTTCTATGCGGGCGGTATTGCGATTACAATAATACAATTGCAATGCACAAACATACAATTACATTCATACAATCGATAAGGCATTAATCGATAGAAGGCGCAGGGACGGCGCCAAGGGCGGAGGATCGTGATCGAGTCCCGTGAGTGACGTTATTTACCTTCTGCAAGGTAACGCCACCACCGACCGCACCGCCTAAGAGAAGGTATCGAATTTTCAACGCTCCCCTCAATATCCTCGTTATCAGCATGGCGTATCCGCGATGCGGATTCGCGAAGTATCTCAATTGCGGCGACGCCAGCAACGGCCTGCAGTGTCTGCCGAACTTTCCGGACATCAGCTTCCGCGTGGTGACGATCGTCACCGGGTGCCTGGTGGTTTTGGCGACTAGCAAAATGCCATGGCTAAAAGAAACACACATTGACTTAATTGGGAGAAGGGCGGAATCACAGATTATTCCGACTTTGAACGGTCAAGGTTATGTACAGGCTTCAAGGGATGATTTTACAGAAAGCGGAGCAAAGAGGAGTTCAGGAGCAAGGCGATAAAGAGCGCGTACGTTCTCGAGAGAGGAGAAAGAGCAAATTACAGTGACGCGAGAAAATATGGTTTTTTTTCAACGCGTGAATTTAATTTAGTAACGATAGAGGAAGTGCTGCGGCCTAACCTAAAAAACGGAGCAGACGCTCCGTTGCGAGAAATATGAATTACATTTCAATTCGATCGAATCATTTTGCGTAAATATCATTTTGCATAAATTCAGCGGACGACGGTTCGTCGGCTCGCTCTACTTCACTTAACAATCACGTAATAATCTCACCCGAACTTTCCACATATGACTTGCTCCATTTTATCGGAGCGATCGCTGCCCGCCGTCGTCGTCGGTGAGTAACGGCGCCCGCGGTAGCCGTGAGATATTTGCGAAATTTCACGTGCATGCGTGTTACGAGACGCGTGTGTGACGTAAGTCAAGGAAATCAAAGGTGGTAAAGGGACGTTCTCCTCGAAAAGCCGACGATCCGGCGGGGCATCACATCCATCCCGATTCATCCACTTGTTCGGAAACCGTTGCGCATTGCGCACGGCATGATTGCCCCGCAAGATTGTCCCTCTCCACCCTAGCCTCACCCCAAGAGGTGATATCAAGTGATGCCAAATCACACGATGAGAAAAATTCCTAATCTGCTCCGGGTTTGGAACTTTTCGCTTGCGGAAAGCCGAGACTGGCCGCCGCGTTATTCCCTAGCGCTCGTTTCCTGCTCCACGACAGCTGTTGGTAGCTGTGAACGACAATCGTTGCCGGTCGTTATTTAAATTTCAAAGGGATATTTCTACGATACTGCTTCAACATTTGAAGAGAAATGTATGACAGATTTGAATTAGAATAGAAAAGTTGCGGTGTCTCTGATAGGAAATACTTTTACATACACTGAGAAAAAAAATTACTTAAAACAAATAAATATGATTCAGGTACCCCAGATCGGAAGAGCACACGTCTG